CTCCCTGCTTCCTGGAAATGGTTGATTAATTTAGTGGCATGTTTTGCTGTGGCATTTCTTCTTTACTGCAGTTCGTGATTATTTCTTTATCCGGGTGGGGTTTACTCCTTTATGGAGGTTACAAGTTCTTCACTGGAGGCAAGAAGGACAAGGCAGAAGAGGTAATTTTGGCTCTGTTCCTCGTTTAGAGAATGGATTTCATTGCGTTTACTTTGTAAATTTTAGTGGCATCACAAATATTCAGTAAACAGTATTTGATTATACCCCATTTCCTAGATTCATTATTGGTCATCTTTGGCCCATGATTCATTAGTTGTTGAATTTTGGCTTAACAATTAATTGGGTTGAGGAATTTATCTACCATGATTACTCCGGAAGAAGAAAGCTTTCCAATGATCTTTTTCTGTTGTAGCCTTCATCTTTGGCTTCATGTTAGGATTTCTTTTGTAAGTTTCTGTGTCTGGTGATCAGTCATTTTAACATTTTCTATAATGTCCCTTATGGATGGTTGAAGTATCTGTCTCAATTTAATTTGTGGTGGCATCTTTTACCAAAAAAGAGTCAGTTTTTTTTTTTTTTTTTTTGGAACATAAACTGAAGTGGAATAAAGTTAGTTTGCTGTTGATAACTGAATTAAGTTTTGAAAGTTAGTAGCTACCAACTCGGTGAAGCCAAAGAAAGCTCTTGTTGGTTGATTTGTTCTTAGCTTTTGTATGCTTGTTCATTGTGTGGAACTTTTAAGGCTTAAGCTTTGCCATTACATTTTATTGTTTAATAGCAAAGACGTGTTGGGCATGCTTTAGAGATTTTAGAGACCTCTTTGTTTACTCTGACAATTTTTTTTGTATACAGAAGAAGGCTGGAGAGACACCACATTAAAGCTTGTGTTGGTTTGAATATCTTGGGGAAGTAAATCTGCAATCTGCAGGATGAGAAGGTTTTCCTTATGCAGTAATACCGCCTAGTTTTGGACTGTTTTAGTTGTAGATGAGAATGTTTCTCTTGTGGTCATGTGCTAAACAACTAGAAGTAATAAAAGTAACTTGTGTTTACTTTGATCATGTGATCAAGGAATCCTTTGTTTTGATCTGACAAACAATGGAAATCCACTTTTTCTGGCATATGTACTCATTTGAGCTTACTTTGTAAGGTTATGGCGTGTGATTCCATTTTTTCATGTTGAGAATCTATATTCTACTGAGTCAAGCAAGCTCGGGAGAATTTCTTGATGAAATAATTCCACTTTCTTGGAAAGAAACTTTTTATTCCTTTTGTCGTTCCTATCAACCAAACAAACAGACTTTGAATTGACCCAAAAAAAAAGAGCATGCTTTCTGGCTGTAAGCTGGCAGATGAGTAACTCCCATCCCATCCCATGAAATAATTCCTTTTCTGAACACAAGTACCATCAAAAACAGGAGCATGAAGTTGAAATAAGCAGAACTGAAGGAGACTTGCATAGAATCTGTTTGCTGCCAAATGGTACGTGGGAGGAATTGAATCCTTTGTCTGGATGAATAATGAATATGATTATGAAAGATAAAACGGAAATAAGGTACATGAAATTTTATTTAAGTTTTTATATGTTAATTACCATGAACACACCCAGCGAGCGGGGATAGCTCAGTTGGGAGAGCGTCAGACTGAAGATCTGAAGGTCGCGTGTTCGATCCACGCTCACCGCATTCTTCTTTTATTTATTTTTAGTTGTTATTATTCACATGCAGCGTCGTTTTACTCTTTGAACAGCTTATACCTCCCCATCACAAAAATATGAGTCCCATAGTGTTCCTTCACCCATCACCATTTACAACTTCCCCACCTTTTATTTGGTTTTCTATAGGTTTTTCTTTATTTCTTTAAGAAAATGAAAATTGCTAATTGAGTTGACAACTTTAACGGTACACGATCCCATCAGAATCAGAATGATAAGTGACAAAAAGGTTGTAGATTATTTCCATCAAATATACCAGTGGGGCATGCAATCCAACTTTCTAGTTACATTACAAATTAAGACCCTGGTTTTTCTGTCATCCCTTGTCCAAGGATAATCAAAAACTCTCCTCTCCTGGTTCCTTCCATGGTTTCAGAATGCAATTCTGTCTCTTACAGCTGAAACAAGAAAATAATACGGAAAAAGTACCATCAGTGTTAAAAAGTACAATATTTGAACCATTCTGGAAGCTAATAGGGAAGTTGGGATACTCTTGTGAAACATAACATAAGCATGCCAATTAACAAGGGAAAAATTATTGATCACTGTTGTTAATACCTGAATGTTATGTCAAGGATGTCACTTGATAATGCAGCAGCTCAACAAACTCTGCCCAAAAAACTTTTTCATTCAAATGGATTTCAGAACCTCTCCCAGAACTAGTCCCCACTGGGTCCAATGTGTACCACCCTGCATGGGCAAGTTGAAGCACCATGATAATTCATGGTATGAGTTTATCAATATCGTCAGATGATAATTTGCTGTTTACGTTAAGCTTGCAAACAGGAGATACAAGCATGGCCTATAAAAGCAATCAGGAAACATGTTTCAAGCCTAGACATGGAGAGGAAACATAAAACAAGTACACACCTGGCAAAACACAGCAAATGGTTCCCTTAGTGGACCATCACAGGAGAGCTCACTTGTACTCCCGTCAATGAAGGTTCCATCGGCAAAGATCACCTGAAAATTAATATGAGACATCACTCTGGAGATTCTATCCATTTGTCAGGACAGAATTGAAAGTTTGAAATCAAGGTCAAAAGAACAAGAAATTTGAAGAACTGGGAAGGAAATTTTTGAAGTGTTTTGTGAATCAAAAGTATAACATCAGAAAAAGATAATAGCACAACTTCATGCATACGACAGGACCATAAATGGACAAATGATAAATTTCTTTTCTTGCAATCATATATCATCATCCTACAAAATATCTTGATTGCCTGGATGCTGCATAATATAAATGAGGGATGCAATCCTTGTATAAAATGGGAGAACTCCTTTGTGCAACTATTGTATGTGGCTCCTATTTTTCATCCAATGTATACGAGCAACACTGGAACAACAATTTCAATCCACATAAATAATTTGAGATGAATGGAGAATCCTAGCAAACACTTATTGTAAGTGAGAAAATTAGCAACCTGATTCATGAAGGCATTGGATTAATGAACCGTGAGGGATTTCATGACATTTGCACCGATGAAAATTTTAAAACCCATTCATTCAACTATTGTATGACATTTGCTCCAGCGTTATGCAGACAAGGAATTGTTAAGAATTTATTCCCTAGAAACTGCAAAAACAAACGTAGAGATCAATTATAGACAGACCTCTGATGCGTATCCTGCTGTTGTCCCAGCAACTGGTTTAGTGAATGAACCCACAGGTGAGCTTCTCTGCACAGCCTCACAGAAAGCAAGGAGATGTTCACGGCTTCCTAACTGTACTGCCTGAAGAACATCAAAAAGCAAGTGAGTTTTCCTCCCTGTTCCTTAATTTCCATTAGCAAACAAATAATTAATGAGCTTGGCAGAATGAAGAACCAAAAATGTATACTAAGTGAGAGTTACACTGATTATAGACCATGATGCAGTTGAGCAGAAGAAACTTGATTCTGATGCTGTTATTCGATTAATAAAGTCAACATTGAATAATACTTCATCACTGCTTGGAAGCTTTCCGCATTAATTAGCCAATAATGATATACAATAAATCAATACAGAAGGACTACAAACCTGTACAGTATCATGACGAGGAACACGAGGCAGTGGCTGCACCTTATACCCTTTGGCTGCCATAACTTCAGCTACCAGATAGGATCCCTTGTGTTACAGAACAAAAAGAATGCTTTCACTATTGCATATAAGAAAGAAAACTACATAGACTAAGAACAAGCAGAGACCAATACCTTGACTGCCTCACCAACCATTTGAGGTGAAAGAAACAAGCCCTGGAAAAAGGATCGCATTATGTAACCCGGAGTTGAGCCACAATCAATCCCAAGGCCTGGTGCTGAGAGACGAGCTGCTGCAGCTTCAACCCATTCTCTTCTCCCAGCAACATATCCACCACAAGGCGCAATAGTTCCACCAGGATTTTTTATCAAACTCCCTGCTATCAAATCTGCACCCTGCCCCAGCATTTAACAAACTATGTTAACATTTCTCAGAACAAAGTTAAGCAAAAATATGCCACTTACCACCATTGGAGGTTCAATACTTTCCACGAATTCACCATAGCAATTATCCACCATGACCAAGCATTTTGGATTCTGCATCTGTACATGGGACATGCAAAGGAGAGAGGACATCAACATGGTGAAAATACAAGAAGTACCAGACTAGCAAGAATAAGAGAACAGATTCTCACATTTTATCAACTAATGAAATAAAAAAAATGGCACAAGTTTCTAAAGAAATTTCAAGAAAAATGCCAGAAACTCTTCTTCTACCTATCTCAACTTCTTTATTTTTATTCACCTACAGCTGGTGGTGGCGTTTTAGTTGGTCTCTTTGGTGCATCTTATCTATACTCAGTGAAGAACTTAACAGTGTTTTTGCCTAACTGCCAAAGAACTTTCAGTTTTAGAACTAGAAACATACAACTTAATTTTCTTAGTAGTTCAGTTGTCACCATGAGAAATCAAATGCTTAGTATTTAAATCTGGCAAATACCAAAGGGAGTGCAGTCAAGCCAAAATCCCCAGTGATGTGACTTCAACAACAGATCTGAATAGAGTTTCAGTCACTGTTCTTTGCATTTCAAAAGTCTCACCTTGATCATCTTTATTGCCCTCCCTATCTCATTTACACTTAGACTCTGACGCCATGAATAACCACAAGATCTTTGTATGAGTGCACATTTTGTATTAGGTCTCAAAGCACCTGCAAGTGCATCCCAGTCAAGCCCACCATCTTCAGCAAGCTGCAAGAACATCAATCTGAGAAAAGGTTCACAAACAGACATTCAGAAACTCTCAGTATGATTATTCACAACATACAGGAACTTCTCGATATGTCACTCCAAAATCTTTCAAAGAACCAAGACCATGAGAGTCCCTCTTCCCAATAACTTCCTCTAAGGTGTCATAAGGAGCCCCAGCAACTGCCAAAAGCTAACAATCAAATTAGTCTGAATCATATGGAACTACCAAGATAGCCTTTACAAACAGAATGAAAGCAAACACAATAGATAGCTCACCTCATCCCCTGGTCTTAGAAAAGCAAACAGTGCGCAAGTTATAGCATGAGTACCAGAGAAAAACTGGTGGCAAAAGAGCATTTAGTGTTAAAAAGTATTTGGAGTAGGTATTCTTAATATAAAAAGACACAATTGATAACAAAAGGAAAACCTGTGAGCGAACTATTGCAGATTCAGCCCCAAAAATTTCTGCAAAGGCTTGGTCAAGTGCTTCACGTCCCCCAGCTTCATCATGACCATAGCCCGTGCATCCAGCAAAGTGCTGATTACAAACCGTGTAAAAATAAATTATCAAACACAACTCATAAAGAAGTTCGTTCAATCTAACAAAACTAGACATTTCTACAGTAAGGTAACCTGAGTTATAGGAAACATCAGAAATCCAACACAAGGGTTTGTGACCAGACACCACAATGACGAATTATGGATATCAAACATCATGTTCCAAAATCAGCATTATAAATTTATAAGAATTGTACCACTTACATGAGATCCAACCCGAGCACCCTGAAAAGCTTTAAGAACACGAGAGGTATTGTGAGCTACCAAATTATCCACAGCTCTGAACTCTGAGTACAAGGAATCCACAGCTTTTGCAACCTGCATTATTGAAAAACTAGCACTTCCAGCAGTAATATCCATCAAGCTTTTATGGTTGATAGAAGCAGTCAAGCACCAAATTTAAGAAATTAAGCCAAAAGTTCCAGAAAATGAGACCAAAGCAACCCCAAAAACGCAGGCCAGTACAACCCATCAAACTTCCGATATACTTCATAGTTTTACAGCAAGAAAAACATGAACTTTTTCCAACAAATTAAAGCCCACCAAACTAATTATTAGCAAATAGACAGAAGTTTTGCAAGCCCCAATAAGGAAGAAAACTGAGGAATAGCCTTCAAAATTTTTCTTCACTTCAACTTTGACAGCAATGAAGTTGAAAGCATAAACTTTTTACAAGAAAGGAAATTCAATAAAATTGGAAAAATTGCTTAATCATTTCTTGCATTTTCCCGGCAACCAAACAAAGCATTAAGCATACTAGAGTATTGCGTATCATATTTTTACTTCACCTCCGGGACGAAGGGGTGGTCATGGTGATGGTGAAGCTGAAGTGAGACTCTACAACTCGAAGGAACTGCCGGTTTGAGTATAGAAGGTCTTAGTGTGTACGCAGGATAAGCAGCGGTGTAGCATGATAAGACCCACATCGTCTTCCGACCGCCGTCGGGGGCGAAAGTCCTCCCTTACTGTATTTAGTACGGCACCAATCGTCAAAATTTCAACTGCTCAGGAGACATACAAAACAAAGGAGAAGGAGTCACCTGTTTTCCCGTCCGGACTCCGGACTGCAAAACTGGAGACAGTGGATGGAGAGCACTCAATGGACTTATTTCTTTTTAATAGATAATATTATGCAATATAGTATAAATTATAATTCATAATTAATTTAATAGTTAAGAATTTGAAATTTGAAATTAAAAATATTAAAATTTAATTTTGAATAATTTATAATCAAACGTATCAAAAAAAATACAACATCTAATGTTGTTCTATAACTGTAATAGTTAGAAGTATTATGTTGTATTGCCATGAAAAGTATTTTAGCATTTAGTAATTATATTTTTTTTAAAATTATTTATTATAAAATTATTCAATTAGATACGTTATCATTTAAAATTAAATTAATAAATAATTTAATATATAATGTACAAGAAAAATTTTGAAAATTTTATTAAATTATTTAAAATTTTCATTAATTTTGGATAAAATTATTTTTGTATCCCTTTCCAAAAAAGTAAAGATGAAAAATTTATTAAACACGTAAATTATAAAAAGTTTTGTAAACATGTACAAAAAGTACTATAAACAGTGTTGTCAAATTAAATCACAATAATTTTTCATGTGTGAGGAAACCTTGGTTTGAGTGTGACCAATAATTTAAGTATTAAAATTATCAAAATAACCTTAATGAGTTATCAAGTAAGTATAATTTCATTAACTTCACTTTTATTATGTAGTCTAAATTTTAAAAAATATATTTTTAATGTATAGGATCTTATTTTACATTTCGACTGTAAAATAAAGAATATCATATTTTACAGTATGATAACATTAGATGGAAGGAATCCTGTTTTGCATCCAACTACAAAACAAAGGAAATTGGATGATGGAGGATCCAACATCAGGGCTACCCCATCCAGTCCAAATAGTTCATATGATGGAATCCGATATGGTATGTAAATACATGTCACATCCTCAAAGTTAACGTAAATATTAACTTTAGCTCTCAATGTTAGAGTACCTTGCAAAGTCATCCTCCAACGTTAAAATTAAGTAATTGACTCCTTAACCTTTAAATGTTTGCAATATAGTCCATTAATTTAGTTCAAAAAAACATTAAAAATTTTATTTTAACTAAGAACTTCCACATAAGATGATATGTAGAAAATTATATAGAGTTTTGAAGTGGGAAAACTAAAATTAGAGTTTTCAAATTTTTTGAGGCATACTCATTTGCCCCTAATTTGTTCTAATTTTGTTAAATGGCATATTAGCAAACAAATGCGATGTTGCTTGCCTTATTTTGCTAGAGATATTTTTTTTTTTTTTTTGGAGTTTAGATTCTAAATGCTTTTGTACATATAGCTAAGTTTGAACGCCCCACTATGATGATGCTGAAAACAATCCATCTAATATACACATTCGTTGTAATGAATAAAAACCAACCACGTGTAACATGAAATTTTCTTGCAATGCACTGGAATAGGTACATGCATTTTGGACTTTTTAATTTTTGAGTATGTATATTAAAGGGAATAAAATTAATTTGTCCATATCCTCAACCACGTAATACCAGACTGTATAAATCTCTAAAAGGATTTATTTATAAATAATTAAAAACATAATTAGCTGTATTTTATTTTTCCTTTTACTATAAATTTGATGAGAAACCACTCGCCGAACACAGATACTAAGAGAGAGTAAAAAGTGTTGGGTGATAGATTTCATAGGAAGTTCCGCAACTAGGTCTTAACCTATCAAAAGCAAGCTCAAAGTAAGTTTTCCATTTCTTGCTCCTACATCATTAACTTGCGCCTTTTGTTTAGAGTTATTGAACTAATTAAAGATTTATTCACAATCTCCATTGAATGTTTTACAATCTTCCTTGCTTTTTAGATTGGCCAATCTTGGTTCATATAATGCTAAAGGTGGTTTTGAATATCAATCTATAATTAGTTGGGAGATTTTGTTTCATTTTTAGTTCATTTTAAATCGAGATGGTAGGGAATAAGATTTTGATGTCATATTCTTTTTAAGATCTTGTTCTTAAGTCTTAATTATGTTTTCCTTTTGATAAATTAAGTTTTAAATCTTTACCTTTTATATGAACTCTATATAATTTCTCATTAATATTCATAGTTTTTAAAGAATTTTAAGTTCTTTAAATCATTTTCCTAGTTTCAAGTGCCAGATCTATGTTATATGTGCATTGATTCAACCATTGATTGATCTTTTCTTATGATAGGTAATAATGTCTTTATTTTTTTGATATATATGAGATTTTATGTTTTATTGAAGGTCTAAAATTGAATTATTTTGGAACTACTTATTAGCATAAAAATGAAAATTAATTTTTATCGAAATGAAAATGAGGGATAGTGTTTTTTTTAATAAATTAAAATATATGTGTTGAAAAAACAATAATATATGTACTGATTTTCTTCTTATTTTAGACATTATCTAAATGTGTGAATGTAAGGTTTAAGCCACAAAACATAAAAGAGCTGATTCTTAAATTTCTCATATCTTGAATGGCATCTCTAGATGGGTTTTGTTTCACCATGACTAATCTTTGAATGCTTTTTGTGTTGTTCTTTTTGTGTCTAAGTTATTTCAAGAACAATGACAAAGGAAGGATCTATTAAGGCAAATCAATATCATTACCAACATATATATCATCGACGTCTAAATGTCTTAAAAGACAAGGAATTACAAAAAATTGATGGATATGAAAAGACAGCTACTTACGTACAAGTGAAATGTGGTTGCACAAGCAAAAAATATGGAGACTCATTAGGAAAGTTTCGACTTTTTACAAACGGTCAGTTTGTAATAGACTGTGAATGCAGAGTAGGATGCCCAGAAGGTAATATTACTCTCATTTATTCACATTTATTTGATTACATATAGATAGTCTTTAGCAAGTACTATATTAAGGGATACTTAATAACCAATGTTTAGAGCCTTAAGTTTAATGTGTCAAGTTCAAACTTGGAGATGAGTAGAAAGAGATTTAAAAGGAAGAAGAACAATCTGATGTGGTACGAAATGAGGTTGAGGACCTAATCACAACAATGAAAAGGCTTGGTACATAGCTAAACTATGCTTAAGAGATTAAGGATCACTAATAAAATTCACTCATTTTCTTGATTTTGTGCATGTTTTTCCTCGACTAATGGATGAGAAATTAATATTAATTAATGATTAATGATGATGAGCAGGGAATTTGACTCCTAACGATTTTGTAAAACATTGCGGGAGAGAAGGCAACCGAAAATGGAAAAGTCATATTTGGCTTCCAATTGGTGAAGATAAAGTGCCTCTTGGGAAATCTCCCATCCTCAAGTACTATAAGTTTGCATCCAACAGGGCCAATGCCATACGCAAACGAAATGTTTTCCACCGTGACGAGTTCATAAATTGTCATGCATGCAACAAACCTCGCCGGTTTAGTCAGCGGACGGAGGAGGAACGCCGGCATTATCATGCAGCTACAACGTCCACAAGATGGAGGTGTTCAGACTGGCTCTATGGCGAGTAAGTATATGATCATTCGATGAGTTTTCAACTTAATAATATACCTCTAACTTAAAAGTCATTGTTTTTTATTGGAGTGGAATGATTTTAGTTACGAGTCTCCATGTTTTTATGTTCTTTCAGAATAAACTGCAACGAAGAAGCAGAAAGGGAGAGTAGAAGAAGCTTGAGGGGCTGTCCAGAGGCTCCGGCATGTAAGGGTTGTCACCGTTGTGTCTGCTTTGGCTGCGTTGAATGCCGCTTCAATGACTGCGGTTGCCGCATCTGTGTGGACTTCATACGGAACGCAGAACCGTAGGTATCTATGAAGTGTTGCTGGTCTCCTGTGCTCCACAAATGGGGTACACAAAAAGGAGACTTTAATTTGGTGTCCCAAAGTTTGTCCCAAAGTTGCATTCCCGTTTAATGTTTTAATTTCCAAGGGCAAATGCATCATTATTATTTTTTTTTTATCAATTATTATGCAATTTACCAATTAAATAGAATCAGTGACTTACATTTAATTTTAGTTTGTGGTTGAATATAAATATCCTCCATGTTTTTTAAAAAAGCTCGGAAAGTTTAAACACGAAACTTTCAAATTATACTAAAAAATTCCAGCATTGAAACAGGACAAAGAATCAACATTTCACAAGAATCTCTACTGTGAATTAATATACAAGATGCAACTAAGAAACCACATAGGCTTAAAAGAAAAGAAATCAATGTTCTCTATAATGAACCCTAAGCATTTGGATTGAATACATGATCACAAGAATCCCTTTGTATTCTTCCTTAAGCTGCCGGTACAAATAGACTCGACTCTACTCAACTTCTACAGCTGCATGATGGACCAATGAGTCTCTGGATTAACCACCAAGTTGGTGAACATCAGAAGCAAAAATGTACTACAACTACAGAAAGAATACAGAAATTTCTCAGTCTAACTTGAAGAAATCCATCTTCAAATCAATGAATTAACACCTTCCTGGCTAGATTATGTACAGGATGAAGCGCTGGAGTTGGATACTAATCTTCTAGCATTCCTCCCGTGGAGCATGTGTGTAAAACCAATGAACCCCATTATGGCATACAACATACATCAAAGTTGTTGCAAGGAACTGCTAGCAAAGACAGTAATCTGCTGTCCAGCAGAGATGCGGTTCTTGCCCCGACCTCGTCTTGCATTAAGAATGCTAGTAATCAAAGAGTTAGATACGTTTCCTAAGGTACTAGGGCCCATTAGCTTCAATCCAAGATTTTTTGCCAAATATGACAACTTACTTTCATCTCCTCCAGCCACCTGCTGAAGTTCATGTGCCTGCTCCCGAGATATCACAGAATAAAGCTGCAATGGCAGGTTCATGGAGGGTTCAGACCTGTTCTTTAAAACCTTGACAATACTTCCATCTTCACACTTGTCAAAAGTAACTCTCACGAACCCCAGTGATTTGGGTTCTTCTGTTAAAGGATTGAATACAAACACAAAGTTTCCAAGTTCTAGATCAGGCCACCTAAAGAGATCTACCAATACATCAGTGCTTGATCCAACACTTCTCTGCACATATCTTCTTGTACTGTTTTGCCGACCTCTAGTAGATCGGAGAATGCGTGAAGCCTCTCTTAGTCCACTTAAATAGGCACCATGCATGGTGGCTGGATACTGCCTCGTCGTGGCCTCACCAGCAAAGAAAAGTCTGCTCCCCACGCTTTCTGCCATAATATCATAATCACTGCCAGATGACTGTACCCTAACATGAGAGTATGAACCATATGAAAGGGGGTCACCGCCCCATCTTGTGCATATTGTTTGTATGGGGTCAGGAACATCTATGCCTTTTGGACCATATATACCTGCCAGAATGACCTGTAACTTATGAAACACAATACTTGACAGAAGCTTTGAAAATAAAAAGCCAAAATACTAAGAACACCAAAAACTAAAAAATTATAATGTATCAACATCTATAGCCAAATCTTGAAAAAATATGCAGTACCTCTAAGTTTGCTTAAAACACGATGGAGCAAGGTTGATGGATCTGTAAATTCAAATGTTTTTGCAGCTTCACCAGCCACCAGTGCAATTAACAATTGACCTCCAGAAACAGTATGGTAACTGTAGAAAAGAAAGAACTCACCACGATTACTGCTATTTTCATTGAGACATCCAAAAGTATCCAGTTCTTCCCCCCAAAAATTATAAGGAAAGGTCATGGCAACTTTATTCAGAAGCCCAAAACCCAACCTATCGATTGCTGCAAGCTTCCTCCGAGGTAACTCTGGTTCAAACTTGATTGCCTTTTTTTTCAAGACTCCAAGAGGCACAGTGCAAAGAACCATATCTGCTTGGAAAACTTGATCACCAGCAATTACCTCAACTCCTTCATTCCCATATTTAATGGCATTAACAATCTTCCCATAAAGTATGGGAATCCCCTCACATAATGCTTTTATTAATCTCCAATTCCCTCCAGCAAGAAAACAGTGGTCTCCACCCATTTCATAAGGATCATCCTGGTCCCAGTGTGCAGCCGATAGATCAGTAAGACATCCAGCATTAGCATATTCCAAGTTTGCAAGATGCCAATCAAGAAGCTGTTTCTCCTCTGTACTTCTAGCCACAGAATACAATTGTCTGAGTATATCCAAAACTGAACCTAGAGATATACCATTTGCACCAATAATTTGCCTCAGTTCTGTGACTTTGTCAAGCAACTTATTAAAGATCAATTCAATCTTGGAATCTGAATCCTTATCAACAGGTGCCCCATCAGGTCTGTAAAGAGGGCAACTATCCCTGACCTTGTGAAGTGGAATAGAAAGTTGCCTAGCTAGAACTCCAAGAGGATTAGCATGAATACCAGTGATTACACTGCCACCAAGATCTGCAACAACGAATTTATCATCCCTGCCCATCTTTTGAGTGTAAACTCGTCCCCCAGGTCTAGTCCTTCCTTCCAGAACAACTACCCTGAAACCAAATGCCAGTAGCTGCCTTGCTGCTGCCAACCCAGCAAGTCCAGCTCCAACTATTATCACAGATCCCTCAGTTGCCTCCTCTGGCATATATGGAGAAAAGGTTGATGATACTCCAAAATTAATATACCCACTATAGAAGAGGAAATCATAAGCAGCACTTATCAAATGTTGATACTCATTACTCACAGTTTCTCTTATCTGTCCCTTCGAAAGCCACGCCCTCACATTACTCCTCCACCTTGCAAGAATATGATTCCTCACAACAATATAATCATTCTGCTCCTTTCCACCTAATTCTCTCACCACCCCTGCTTGAATCTCCTCCGGTAGCAGTGCATCAATGGGGAATCCCACAGATAGTGCAATTAAAGCCTCAGTCTCTGTTTCTTTCTCCAACTCCTCCCTTGTCCTGAACTTTTTCCTGAACGAACCACCCAAATGCTTCTCAATAACCTCATCCATTAAACTCTCATCATAATTCTTCAAACTAGCTTTCTTTCTCAAAGGTCTCTTCGAGGCTGACCCATCTGAAACTGGGGTGTCCATTGTCGCAATCTTTAAGCAGACAACTTATCCAAGTCTTTCCAGAACCATCAACCTCACAAACCCACCAAGAATACAACCAGGCATGTCTTCAGTACCACCCATATATCATTTCCAACTAACTTCATTGAACGGCCACTTCATTTACTAGAACTAAAGATTCCAACCCAACACATGTTTCATCTCGAGAAAACTGGTCTAACCAAAATAAAATTTTCTCTTATAATTCCAAACAACAGTCCATCAGGAGGATAAACCTGAAACTGCAGAGGTAATAAGCAAACTAAGAATGCTATGAATACAAATCAGGTTCCTAGTCAACTCAAACCAGCAAAACTAAAAACCTTAAAACGAAACTCTCATAATCTACAAATGGAAACTCCAAGATGATATTATAAAGACAGAAAAAACTAAATCAAATGTGCCTCTAAATTCGATCTCTGAATATGGATTTCCGACCAAAAAAAAACCTGCCTTTAAAATTGAATCTAGAACGGGAGAAAGATTGCATGCAAGAAATTATTGAAGAAATGAAAGAGAATGGTGACTCACCTCTTGAGACGGAGTTGACTCGCAGATTTGGGGGTTTTTGGTTTCCTGAAGAACGGTTAGTGGTGGTTTTAGGGTTTTTCAGGTGCAAGAACATCGAGAAAGTGAATTAGAAATTAGATGGAGGGAGGAGGGAATCACGAAGTAATTATTGGGCTGGGCCTTGACCTCGATTATTGAAATTTGAAATGAACTCTGGGCCGGGCCGGACCAGTAGCTGGTTTAAGACGGCCTAATCTCCTCCGAAATTGCACTTAATTGGAACGTTGTTTTTTTTTTTTCTTTTTTTCTTTTTTTACGGTAAAAAAATTCTAAGTTAATGTAGTTAGTATCTGTTTTTTAATAGAATCAAATTTATGATTAACGTATATTTCACTTGCTGTCCAATGGATAACGTGGTCACCACTGAGTCACATGAGGAGTGTGAACTTGTTTTGTAGGAAGAAAACCCACAATTGAGGTGGTCTCCTTCTATCACTTGCAACCCAAATCGATGAAGAGATTCATCAAGCTCAACAATCTTTTCCTTCTGATAACTCATTCCTGGTACATCCGAGTTTGGAATAAACAAACTTTATTGTTATGCTAAGTTTCTTAAATATGCAAGGTAGAGGAATTAAGTGGAGAGAAATGGGGACTAAACGGAGACAAAGTTAAAGAGCAGGATGGTACCAAGACCATCTTCTCCTTCAACTACTTGGACAACCTCCACTAAATTTGGAACTAGTTTTAGGACAATATATCTCAAGTCCTTAGCTAGTGCATCCCATAGTGCTTCAACACCAACACCCACTTTTCACTTGGGTTTTCACTTCCTTTTCCATGGCTTTCAGATGTGAAACCTCGAAGGAGATTATGAATGAAGATGCTAGACAGAGTGAATTGCCGTTGGCAATCTGATTTGAAGTGTTGATGGTAGTTCTTGGTGAAAATTACTGGTATAAAATAATGACTATGAGGCATAAGTTGTCATTAAAAAACTATTAATTATATACCAGACCGAAAAAGGGGCAGAATGGCATCCTCCTTCGAATGAGAGAAAGGTGGCCTTGTAGATGCCTTCTTGTTTTCTACAATGCTTTAGTTAGTATAACTAGGAGAATACATCATACTTAGGTTACTGCATGTAAGGTAAGTTGCTAAGTCATTTATGGAAAAATAATTTCTCACTTATTTGTAGGGGATTTGAACCCTTATTTTCTTTTTTGATCACTCTTCTTATAAGAGTTTTAACCAATTAACTTGTCTTATAAAAAATAAAAAAAAAATCTCGGAGAACATATTATACTTAGATGATTAATGCATTATATCCGCTATTGATGGCATTTCCTAATTGAATTGTTTTAACAAAAAAAACTTAATTAACCCAGATTAAGAACTCCGCAAAGCATATAAGACCCACTAGCATATGTTCCCGCCCCCATACTTTAGCTAAATTTTAGAATAAGTTAGATTTTGACCAAGTGATTGCAAATACATGGAGAGTATAAAAGGAAGGACAAGCACGTGTCTATGCCATGTGATAGGGTGATATAGAACCATTTGACAGAAAATGAAGGTGTTTTACAGCCATTGCTTGTTCATTATTATTCTGCTCTTTGTATCATTTGCAGTGCAGATCCATGCAGCTTAGACCAGGACTTGTGTCAGCCGCAAGAGTCCCTGCTTTCTCAAGCGGATAACCTGCCCTGCTGAATGTCCATCAATAAAACCCAATGATCCCAAAGCCAAGGTTTGCTACATCAACTGTGATTCGCCCATTTGCAAGGCCGAGTGCAAGCGTAAGAACTCTTTTTTAATAACCATTTCCATGTAACGTCTTTTCTTAAATCCTGAAGGCTAACAGTGTATTGTTTTCATAGATCGGAAGCCAAACTGCAATGGCCCTGAAGCAGCCTGTTTGGACCCCAGATTCATTGGTGGAGATGGAATTGTTTTTTTACTTCCATGGCAAAAGCAATGAGCACTTCGGCTTGGTGTCTGATCTAAACCTGCAAATCAATGCACGTTTCATCGGCCTCCGCCCAGTAGGCAGAACCCGGGACTAGACCTGGCTCCAAGCTCTTGGTTTGCTCTTTGACTCCCATGCATTCTCCCTTGAGGCCACCCCTGCAGCAACATGGGATGAAGAAGCTGACCATCTCAAGTTTACTTACGATAGAAAGGAGCTTCTCATACCTGAAGGCCATTTCTCTTCATGGGAATCCCAAGAAAAGAGCATCATGGTTGAGAGAACGTCAGAAAAGAACAGTGTCTCGGTCACCCTGCCAGAGATTGCTGAGATTTCAGTCAATGTGGTGCCAGTGACCAAGGAAGATGACAGAATTCACAACTACCAAATACCATCCGATAACTGCTTTGCTCACTTGGAGGCGTAGTTCAGATTCTATGGCTTGTCTTCTAAGGTGGAAGGAGTGCTTGGCCGGACATACCAGCTGGACTTCGAACGCCCTGTAAAGCCAGGCATAGCAATGCCAGTAGTAGGAGGAGAAGACAGATACAGAACATCATCACTTCTGTCTGCAGATTGCCAGTATTGTATATTCTCTCTGGCTGGAGTTCCAGAGCAAACAGATACACTGGCGATGAATTTTGGCACACACTAGATTGCACCAGAGGAGCCTCCAGTGGGCAAGGAATAGTTTGCAAGAAATAAGCACGGACTTTCTAGCCAATTCTAAGAAAATATACTGAAAGGTTCTGCTTCTTCTTAAATAATTTAAGAACAAGGAATAAGGGTGAATCGAATTCCTCAATATAATGTATTTGAATCCAAAGAATTAAATCAACAATCATGGAAATAACATGGTACGTTACATGCAATTTTCTAATGCCGTCACTCAACTATATTACAAACTAAATATATTATATGAGAAGAAAAATTAAGGAAAAGAGCAATATAATGACCCTCATTTCATTTCAATCACTCAGCACATTTCCACTTATTCTTGAGGCCAGAACAACCAGATCTTTAGTAAGGTGTCCCAAATCCAGGATCATGAAAAAGCAGGTATGGCTGTTTCTTACCTTCCCCGAGGATTTACTAGCTGTGAAAATACAGCGCTGGTTGCACCATCTTCGGCATCATCATCAGTGCCAGAATTTCCACCATCAATCATGCTCACACTATTGTCAAATTGCTCAAGTTGTGTTAACTGAATGGCAGGAATATGGTTTGTACTATTATCTTCAGGTTCCATTAGAGCTGATGAAGTCTCCTCTAGCTGCAGAGCATATTCAAGATTCCACAAAACATCTCCCATTGATGGCCTGTCTACCCCATGCTCAGCCAGGCACTTCTCAGCTGTCTCTCCATACTTCTTGAGAGAAGCTGGGTTTACTTTCCCCACCAGATTAGAGTCCATAATTTGATCCAGCATTCCCTTCTTCTGCCAGGTCATTGCCCATTCTGCTATATTAACTTGTTCCCTTGGGAGAACAGGGTTCAAAGCAGGCCTGGTGCAAAGTACTTCCATCAGAACCACCCCAAATGAATACACATCTGACTTCTCTGTGAGTTGCTGCCTTCTGAAGTATTCAGGATCAAGGTAACCAAAGCTACCCTTAACAGCAGTGCTCACATGGGTCTGATCAAGAGCTGGACCAGTTTTTGAGAGACCAAAGTCTGCAACTTTGGCAACAAAGTTATCATCCAAGAGAATGTTTGTTGTTTTCACATCACGGTGAATGATACTTTGTGCTGCACCAGTGTGGAGATAATGAAGCCCCCTTGCTGCCCCAATGCATATTTCAAGTCTTTGCTTCCAGGACAGAGGTGGCAGATCTGTTCCATAGAGATGGCTTCTGAGAGGTCCATTAGCCATATACTCGTAAACAAGAATCATTTCTGACCTTTCATCACAGTAGCCAATAAGAGAAACAAGATGGCGATGGCGGAGCTTTGACAACATCTCAATTTCAGTGCGGAATTCAGCCAGACCTTGTTCAGATCTGGGGTTACCTCTTTTGACAGCTACTTTTGTCCCTTCTTCAAGTGTTCCTGTGTAGACTCGACCAAAACCACCAACTCCAAGAAGTAGGCTCTCATCAAATTTGTTGGTAGCATCTAAGATTTCTTGGAATGTGAAGAAACGACCAAGATTGGACGAAGCTAATGAGATGCAGCTTGCCGTTCCACTTTTCTGTGAAGTTGTGGACATCTTGGTCATGGTCAGAGAGTTTCCATATAAGGGCAAAGGCAACCATGGATGCCCCTGGTGAGTAGTTTTTGACTTCCGAGCTGCGAACCAGCAATAGCATAATACAATTAAAGCCACTGCAGCAACAGCTCCAATGACAGAACCGATGACTATTCCAAAATTGTTCTTCTTTGAGGATCTGGGAAGGAGACTGTCAATTGAAGAAATACCATCAAGGCTTCTAACTTCATTGCTAATTTTCATAATCTCCAACCCATTCAGTGTAGCATTGGTGATGTCTGCTATCATATCTGGGCCAACACTGACGGTCAAAGTTCCTGAATCTGCTGAAGAATTTGCGATGAAGTCCTTGTAATAGGGTACATTTAAGGCACCAGTTTTCGACGAGAGATCAAAACTCGGCAAAGCAATATCATCATTAATGTACAGGTTGAACACCAATGCATTGAGAGACTCACTTATGATATCACAGAAATGGACACGGACAAAGTACCTGAAGCTTGGATCAACTGAGAGGACCCAAGTTATGTTGAAGATCATGATGTTTACATTTGCATTTCCCATGGCTTCAGCAGTGGAATACACCCAATTAGGTGCCGTTTCAGCTGTAACAGAAGTTGTATATTGTACAGAACCAGGATTTGTTGAAACATTCACAGCTGAGCCGTTAACATGAAGATATTTCACATCATTCTCCCAGGTTCTTCCAAGGGTGTCATTCTGAGGGGTGATCAATGGACCACCCACGTTTAACCGGTAAACAGTTTCCAATGCGAGCTCAGAAAGATCACTAAAAGTGGTAGGGGGATTGAGAGTCAATGCCTGATCAGGAAGGACTTCATCCGGAATGGAGACAACTTCAATTGCATTAATAAATGAAACTGAATTATTTGAAGAAATGAAGGTAAGGATCAAGGAATCAGAAGTCACGTTGATTGCATACTCCTTGAACAAAAAAGAACTACCGTAATTCTTAAATGTGAAGTTGTTCAAGAGCACAAAATCATCAGCGACAACTGTTATTAGAGCAGATGACAAATTTTTGCCTGAGTTAGGGAGAGGAAAGAAATAAAGGCGGACCCAATGCCGACCTTCTCGCTTGATGTCAAACTTGTAAGAAGCAATGCCCGAGAAAATTCGAGCAGATTGATATATTGGAGATGGAACGCTGGAATTGGAACTAAAAACAACAGAGTTTCCACTCTTCAGCACAAGAGAAGAATGGCCTGTATCAGGAACAAAAGTTCGACCTTGGAATGTGACATTTTGTGAAGAACCACAAACAATCAAGTAGTTATCATCAGGAGTGTATGAAGCACATATTCCATGACACATGAACTCAAAGAGAACAAGAACCAAACCCAAAGTCACCCTCTTCCCCTGTTTCCTCTCCACCATTTTAACGACTGATATTGCCTAACAAATCCCCAATCTGCAATCACAATCCATAAAAGAAAGTACAAAACCACTCAGCTTCAAAATTCAGTAAGATCTCAAAGACCCAATTTCATAAACCTCCAAATTAACCTCAAATAACTCTTAGAGATCCCCAAGTGTTACAAATAGAACATTACAGACAAGATAAATCTAATCAACTTAAAACTCTTTTAGGAAAAGAAGATAAAAAGATCAGAGCTTGGAATGTCCTTACCTCACCAAGTGAGCTAAAAAGAATCAGTAGTTGGTGAATGTGTAGTGGTCCTCCAGAATCAAAGGCAAAAACCCAGTTGAGGAAACATGAAGGTCGCCATGAAAGGCAAGCTCTTTGAGGAACTGCGTACACCCCCTTTCCAGGCTGTTAATGAGGTTGTCGATTACAGAGAGAAGTAAAGGACCCCACAACTTAAGAAGAGGGCTATGAACCTTCTCATTTCAAAATGTCCTGTTAAGAACCCCAGCTGTTATTTTAGCTTTGAATTTGATAGGAGTATCTTTCCATATATAATAACAGAAAACTCCAGGAAAGTTCTGCTACTGAGGCTTTATGGTATTTTTTAAAATCAAGGATTAGATGTGAAATCAGAAATAAAATAGTATTTTATTTCTGTTTTTGAGCTAGCTGGTTGGGCAAATAATTGAATTTAAAATAAAAATAATTCTCTTGTGCAGATGAATATTTACTCAATCCACCAAGCACTGATATGTAAAATAAAATAAATTAATACAACTAACAATTTATTAATTTGAGTCAAAGCAATTTAATTATTTTTAAATAAAATTTTAAATTTTAAATTTTTAAATATAAAAAATAAACAAATGATTCAACCCTAAATTAATCAAATTCAATAAAATTTTATGATATTAGGAGTTTAATAAAATAATCAATTATTGCAATTTACATTTAGTCATTTAAGGTTCAAGAACCTTGGATAACATTCAAAAAATTAATTTTTTTTAGGTTAAAACTCCTTTTT